TTCCAATTTGTAAAGTTTTATTTTTATTTAAGACATAACACGTGACGCCTTAAGTGCGCTCAGAGGATGTACAATGATTTACGATAATATAGTACTTATTTTCATTTTGTATTATGGTATGTCTTTTTTCTATTTGGTTACCATGCAAAGGAACGGTGTCTATGCTTAAATGACGAATTTTCATCTTTATAGAGTGAAATATGGTTAACATGGATCTTAAATTATCTATTTAATTATAAATAAAACAAAATTTCAAATAAGTTAAAATTATGATTTAACTTTAGAATTATTATCATTTGGCTTTTTAATTATTGATGTTTTTTACTTAGTTGAAAATTAGGAGACAAAGGAATTAAATGAGTGAGGAGAGGAAGAAAGAGTTGAAGGGAAGAGATTATGCGTGCATATAATTGTAATAATTCTTTTTACCAGGTTGCAGTGTTTTAGTTGCTATTACTTTTGTACCTAAAAATTGAAAAATGATTTATTGATTGATTAAAATATATCGTTTTTACTTGTCTTTTCCCGTATATTCGCAGTAGATATTAAAAATACGAACACTATTACAATCTAATAATGTTATTTTGACTTATTCTAATGTTATAATGGGGGAGTAGTTATATAATTTAATTATTCCGAAGACATATATGGTGATAAAATCTATATCATTATCCTTCTATAATTTTATAATTGTTCAAATGACACACAAAAATCAGAAAATATAGCCCCAAAGTGACATATTTCTTCTCAAAGTCGATATTACAGTGGATATGGGTCTTTAAATGTAAAATAATCTAAAGATGTAAGTTCATCAAATATTAGTAGTGTGAGTTAGATGTTATAGTTGCTTATTTTGTTGCATAAGTTTTGCTTTCTAACTAACATATTTTGTAAACATTACTCATAGAATATTCATTTTACTTTTATGATTGTAGACCTAATTTAATTATTATAAAGTTATGCATGATGATAAAATCTATATTATTATCATTATTTTATATGTTTTTATCATTGCTTGAATGACACGCAAAAGTCAGAAATATAAACCAAAATGACATTTTTTTCAAAGCTAAATTACAGTGAAATATGGTCTTCAACTGTAGTTATAAATAATCTAAAGATTTACGCAGATCAAGAATTAGTTGTATGATTTAGAAGCTTAACTGTTTAACACAAAATTATTACTTATCTAACTAATAAAGCATGAAAATAGGAGAAGAAATAGGTGAAAAAGTGGAGAAATGAATTGAAGGAAGAGGAGGCGTACATACGTATGTTCGGTTTTGTAAAAAAAGTAACTTATATATACAGGCTTAGGTGGGCCCGGGTTTAGGAGAGAAAATTTTTTTTCTTGAAAATTAATCTAAGGGTTGTAAATAATGGGTCCACCAAATTTAATGAAAATATATTTTGTTATTTTAGAATTTTAATAATTTCACTTATATATTAGAGCATGACATGCCAACTTAGAAACTTTTGTAGGATGTCATATGGTGAATTAGGAGCATTTTTAGAAAGTTTAATGGACTTTTAAGACATCTAATCTAATGTTCTAAAACACCAATCAGGTCCACAAATTTAAATGAAAATCGACGGTGATATTTATGTAAATTTATAAAGTAATATCTTTTATCTTTAAATAATATAAAATCCTATTTTAAATATCATCAATTTTTTCCAATAGTACTAAGTACATATTTTTTTTTGCTTATTGATTTTATGATAATTCTGTGCGTAGTGTTTTTTTTCTTCTGACGCAAACAGTAGGTACGTAAGCTTCATTTGTTTCTTCAGTTGTACGTACGTAGGTTTTTTCTGTATACATAAATACGTATCAGAGTAAGGGAGTTAGATTCTTTAAAATAAAATACATATAATCTAATAGCCTAAAATATCGGGTCCACTGACAGCGACGGATCTAAGATTTAAAATATAGGTGGTCCAACCTAATTATTTTTCTAAACATACTAAATCTAACGATGGTAATATATACTATGCAAGTATACAAGTATAGATAATAGAATAGACCAAAAGTGTATCATGCTATATTAATAAAACATCTTAAAACATATAAAATTAGTAATTACCTAAAATTTTGACTTAAAGAAGCTTACATGGCTATAAAAGTTTAAAGAAAATTACCATACTATTTTTTCTTTTTATCGGGTCTACGCCTTCTAATAACCGTGAAAGTGTTCATTATATCTTCTTCCTCCATTTTTAAGAAAACATCCCGCTTAATGAATGTGACTATACAATCATCCAAAAGCTCATCACCCATCTTATTTCTCAACCATCATTAGTAAATGCATCAGTTCTACCATCATTTAATATCACAATTAGGAGTGAAAACAGTACGGAAACTTTCCGGATTCCGGACCTATTTTCAAAAACGGAATCTGTCGGTCGGAATTTTTTCGGAATTTTTCGGAAACGGAAACGAATTCGGAAATATTTTCTCGGAAACGGAATCGGAAATGATAAGGGCAGTTTCCGTCGGAACTCGGAATCGGTCGGAAACTTTCCGGAAATTTCCTCGGAATTTCCGGAAATTTCCTCGGAATTACCAGAAATTTTGTGACTGAAATACCCTTGATTCTTTTTTTAAGCACTAAATAGTGAATACCATAATGTTTGGCTGTTATTTTTTAAAAAATATTTGTTATGCAAATCTAAAATTACATAAGAATATTTTTTGTGCTACATTGGGATTTATCAACAACATTACTCTTTTAAACATAGATAATTTATTCAATTGGATTTATCAGTTTGAGGGGTTTTTTATTCCGATAAATTTTCGTTACCGTATTCGCGCTGGTTCGTTTTCGCTCCATTTTCGATTTCAATAATATTCGATTCCGTTTTTGTATCCGGGGTTTCCGATTCCGATTTCGATTCCAAAAAAAATATGAAAACGATAAAGATGGTTTCTATCCGTTTCCGTACCGTTTTTACCCCTAATCACAATGCACAGGAGTAAAGAGTTCAAAATTTCGAAACTGAAAATTGAAAAGAAGTAAAAAGTAGAAAACTTTTTTTTTGGCTTGGTGCAGGACTGCCTCACTGCGGGCGGGCGTTGGCGGCACACGCTGCAGGTCTGCAGCAGTGCGCTAGTGCGGCACTGCGGCTGCGGCGGCAGCCGGCCAAGGCGGCGGACTGCTGCAGGCTACGGCGCCAGTGCGGCAGTGTGGGCTGCTGCGGTGGCCAAGCCGGCCAAGGCGCAGCGGCAGCAGCAGGCCAAGGCTTCGACGCGCGCGCGTGGCCCGGCGGCGCTCGCTCTCACGATCTGATCAGATTGCTGATCGCGTCGGCGTCGCGACTCGTGAGGGCGAGGAGGAGAGAGACAGAGAGTCCTGCGACTGCGCGACGCTTCGGTTTCTGAATTACGATCGATTAGATACACCGTACACGCACGTGTGGGGTGGGGCCTGTGGGCGGCGGGCGCTGGGTCGATGTCCCTCGCTATAAAAAATTAATGTAAAGGTCTAAAATATCGGATCCACCAATTTAATTGAAAATCGACGGTTAGATTTGACAGAGCCATGTGGCGGTCTAGGAGCGTTTATAGGAGTCCCACGTGACGGCTTGAGAGCGTTTGTAGGAAGTTTAATGGACTTTTAGTATATAATAAATAGATAGATTATACGAAACTTTTAACAGTGGCTTTAAAAACTTTGATTTCGAATTACAATAAGTTTGTACTAAAAATATGTTTTCATCTTAATGTGTGTGTCAAAAATACAGCATCGCCAAATAGCAATTTCGGTTTCTATTTCCAAAGGAATTGGAGATAAACTCATTCCTTTGGATACTCTATGAGTTTATCTCCTATAACAATATAGAGTACCTAGGCGACTAGGCCCCATTTGATTGGGTTGCTTGACTAAGCACTTGGTGGAAAAAAAACACGACATGTGATTAGCGCAGATTATTAAGTATTAAATTATTGTAAACTTAAAATGAATTTATTTATACTTAAGAAACATCAATATATAATTGAACTGTACCTATTTATCTGAATCAAGTGTTGATTGGATAGTGTGGATTTAGCTCAAATGCCTAGTACTATAGACCCAACTAGGATTCTTTTTTTCAAAATATATATTTTTCTCAAAATTTGCAAAGTATACCGTCTTTAAAAAATTTAAAAAGAATATTGTGATGCGTGGCCAACTGGACTACATGCACGTTGTCGCTCATCCATTGGGAGATACTCTCTCAGCTTCAAAATAAACAAATGTAGTATGGAATGTAACACATCCTAATATTATAAATATAGTAGCAGATGTGATGTGGTTTGATTATTTTGAAATTGAGGTAGTAGACGAATGTCGCTAGCCAAATTAGCGAAACACCGTGCACAACGTGTGGATAAATGCCTGTTTGGATGAGCTTCTAGCTGCTGCGGCTTCTCCCAAAATCTTCAACTCCCCTAAACAGTCCATATTGTTATCTAGATTCTGAGAATTTCTAGTTGTAGAATCCAGAAAATAAACTACAACCTATAAGCTGACTACCAACCATCTAAGAATCTTAATCTCCCTAAACAGGACCATAGTCACACATAGGTTGTGTTTAGTTCCACGCCAAAATTAGAAGTTTGAAGAAAAAAATTAGAAGTTTATATGTGTAGGAAAGTTTTGATGTGATAGAAAAGTTAAAAGTTTAAAGAAAAAATTGATAACTAAACAAGCACATAGTATGCACGAATAGCCAAGTGTGCAGGGCGGCAGGGGGGATCGTCAGGCGTGAGCGAGCGGTGAGACAGGTGACATGGTGTGTACACATTCGGAGCGCGACATGGTTAAAATTCTCAAATCCTTTTAAAAAGGTGTGTTTTTTTATGAAATTCTAAATAAAATAGTTTGAAAAAGAAAAGAATCCGTAGCTAGTTACTATGGCAGATGATCAAATCTTCTCTCTCGTATACCTCGATCAGTCTTTTTTTTTGAACTGAATACCTCGATCAGTCTAGCCATATGCTGATAAGCCCCGTTCTGTACCGTCCAGTAAAGATAAATACTTTACACGTAAAGAAGCAAATCATATACTCCATCTCAGGTGGTATAGTGTACAACACTCTTCCTACTCAAACAGCTCAAAAAAATAAACTACAACAAATTAAACAAATCCCATAACTTAAATCAGGCGCAAAAGCTTAATCAAGCGCCATGTGAGCACCCATGTGTGTGAACTACACTTGCACCACGAAGAAGAGCAGAGTCGCCGCCGCCGCCAGACCGGACCCGAGCCTGGCTATACTCCGACCCGCGCCGCCGGTGGTCGGCGCGTCGTCGGCGTCGTCCAGCGGCGCGGTCGTCGACGTGTCGGCCGGCGAGTTGGACACGTTCTTGGGGTGGCTGAAGTCGAAGGTGGGCGGCGCGTCGGCGGCGGCGCCGGCGGAGGAGGAGGGGCCGGGAGCCTCGGCCGCCGGCGGGCGGAGGTCCGGCGGGAGGCCCTGGCCGTGGGCGACGGCGATGGCGAAGCGCTGGCCGCTCTCGCACTGCTCGCCGTCGTAGTTCCCGGAGAAGAAGTAGCTGCTCCCTTCCTTGAGCAGCGGCACGGCGACGGTGACGGCGTCCTTGCTGAACTCCGGCGCGGCGGCCGACCACTCGACGGTGTCGTCCGGGCCGGAGTCGTTGTAGTCGCAGCTCTTGTACAGCGTCTCGTTCCGCGTCTGCACCACCGAGTGGTTCTTGTCCGTGTTGAATACTGCAGCAGCAGCAGCAGCAACGAACATGTCAGAAAGACAGAAACTGCTCCAGCTTAAATTAATTTCAAATGGGATATTTGCAAGTGTTTTTTTAAATGGTTGAAGCGTTTAATAAGCGAGATTTGCAAGAAATATATATTCTAGCAGAGAAAGTTGACTTCAGTTGTTGTTCTGTTACTTCACGGTTATAATTTATGATGTGTTTAGTGCAACCACCGGTTGGTCGGTACAGAGAGCGCATTAGCTATATGCAGTTGGCACGATATACTGAAACCGGTTCAGTCTTTCTAACGCAAATTAACCAGTGAACAGAAGTATACATGCTTTGGATCTGAATGATCAGTTGACGATCATTGATCCAGATAGTAAAAAATATATATACTTTCAGATTCCAAGAAAATCACACTAGCTCCTTGCTGCGTGCCATGTACTATTCTGTGACATTGTTCTTCAGATAACATGATCAGATTGCGATGGATAAGCAACCAGAGAAAGATTAAATATAGGATGTTGGTGCGTTGCCCTTCTCCCCACAAGCCATGTGCATGATGAAATTGAGAAAGGTGACTACTGACTACTACACTTTTGGCGGTTTGATAATGACAGTGCATGGTTCCCCCAATGAACGGTTGGGAGCCAGAGAGGAAGCAGATTCCAAAGCTGGTTGAGGTATTCAGTTTGCATGGTAAGCTTGGCTAGAACAAGGAAAATGAAGATCATGATGGACATATTGCAACTACGAGAATCAGTCTGATGGATTGCCATGCTCAAGTTCTTGTGCAATTATTTCGTTTCAGATTTTCAGAGTCCAGACTTCAAACAAGCAGCAGCACTAAACTTCTCAAGTATAATATAAAGAAGTGAAGAAAGTATATATAACAGGAACCATAATGCAAACAAAATCCAAGAAGAAGAAGAAGAATTCAGTAAACATATGGAACAAACAAATATAAGTATACTCACTGAGGAAATCTCCGAGGCTGAAGTTCTTGCCGTCGGCCCACTCCTGGTAGTCGACGCCGGGGTGGGTGAGGCCGTCGTACCAGCCCTTGTCGTCGCCGACGGTGTAGTTCTTGTACGCGGCGGCGCCAGGGACGGCGGCGCTCAGGCCGGCGACGACGAATACGGCGGCGGCTACCACGAGGAGCGGCGGCGAGAGGTTGCCTCCCGGGGAGGAGATGCTCCTCCTCTGTCGATGCATTGTGGCCTGCAGGCTGAAGCTGCTAGCTGGAGTAGCCTGGATTGATCGATCGGTTCTATCTCTTCCTTTTTCTTGAGCTTGCTGGCTGCAGCTTTAAAGAGAGTGATGGCCGAGAGAGAGGCTGAGAGCGGCAAGCAAGCAAGCAAGATGGGCTAAGCTAGTGGCGCGCCTCATTTTATAGTGGCGTCCTGGAAAAGAACACGGTGTTTCTCCATATATTTCAAGAGTGCCAGTGCCCACTGCACGCAGTTCACTTGTGGTTGCAGGTAATTTTATGGTTCGAACTTCGAAGTCCATTTCTATTTTTATTTGTTTACTATTACAGTGAGATGTACTCCCTCTATAAAAAAAATAGAAAAAAAACAAACCTAAAATTAGATACGACACATTCTAATATAGTAAATTAGATATAGATATATTAAATTCATAGTATTAAATTGTGTCACATCTAGTAATAAATTAGTTTTTTATAGGACAAAAAGAGTACGCTATATAGTATTCATATCATCATCATGTTTGTACGATATGTATTCCTAAATCCTAATACACGTACAAGGAGATAACGGTGTAAAAACTTCTACTGGAAAATCTTAATTGGACACGGATTCAGATCATAACGTCTTCTCGAAGTTCTCATAACCAAAGGGCAATTTAGGTATATATATATATTCGGATAAAGGCTCCTCGTCGTGGCGTGGCCAAGCAGCAGTGGCCCGGATCGGAGCATATTGCGTCGCGCTGGCACGTCGATAAGTGTCGGTAGCGCTGCACTTTTTTGCACCGGTCATGTGAGATGCCATTGGAGTCCTGGAGAGGAGATGAATCCATTTCGGTTGCGGCGTCGCGTCATTGGATCTGGTGCACGTCCGCCAGTTTTAATCCATGGAGTGCACAAGAGCACGTACAATAGTATACTATTATAGCCAGCTATCAACTATTGTATGACTTGGCTATTAGATTGGCTAAAGATGAATTGGAGCCAGTAGTGGGCTATCCTATTAAACTTGCTCTAATATAAGGGCCCCTTTGAATCAAAGGATTTATATAGGAATTTCATAGGATTCAAATCCTATAGGAAATTTTCCTATTTGGCCCTTTGATTCAAAGGATTGAAGCTTTTCAAATCCTATGAAATTCCTATGGAATGGCACATTGCATATGGATTTTGGAGGAAATTTAGCAAGAGCTCCAACCTCTTGAAAAATTTCCTTTGAGTCTATCTCTCTCATCCGATTCCTACGTTTTTCCTGCGCTCCAATCAAACGACCATTCCTATGTTTTTTCTGTGTTTTGCAATCCTCTGTTTTACACTTCAATTCCTGTCAGAATCCTATGTTTTTCCTATTCCTGTGTTTTTTCTACCCTGTGATTAAAGGGGCCCTAAATATGTCAAGCCCGGTGCAGCATCTGATCGACACGCAGCCAGAGGAATTTGTTCACAGCCTACTCCACACAAGGAGCACATCACTATTGTTATTATCATTATCCTAACTCTGACAGCAGTGCATGACAAACAGCAAATGTCCTAGGGTATGAACAGTGGATGCGATTAGCTACTGCTCGTATTTTTCTGTAAATAAAAGGGGCAGTAGTAGTACTGCAAAAGTTGATCGGGGAATCATACACGGGAGATTATTGGGTATGATGTTGGGGATAAAAGATAGCAGCATCCACGGCCAGTTCCACGGAAAGCCAATGCTTCGTTCGTTTTGTTCATCTCAAAAAGAAAAGAAAGAAGAATATGGATTGAGATGCAACACAGATGTAACATGGACACGGCGGCTGGATTGGAAATAATAGAATTTGAAGACATGGAGATGGAGCACAGCTGTGATCTGTTCCGTGCATCTGTACCTGCTTATCACTACTGCGGAGCTGAATATGCTCTTGACTGATAATATGTGTAGATATGCTTTTGTTTAACATGAACCAAATCATTGCCAGTTCCCCAAGTGTTTTCAGTTGATTCCACGGCTTAGCTGCCCTTGATCTCTAATATTTTTTGGGGGAAAAGGACGAAAAGGACAGGTAAACCTCCAGATATGAACTTGATAATTAGTAGAACGTAAATTTTGACTAACAGATTTTCTGCAGCTGTTCTACCGACAAAGTATCCGTTTCATATATTCAGTTCAGATATGCAGAGCTGCCAAAGGACCAAGGACAAGGAGTATATAACAACTGAATGACTGATTCTTCATTGGCTCCTATTGAACCATCTTGTAACTGAACTGAAACTTTTTGACCCTCTTCATTGGCTCCTATTGAACCATCTTGTTTCTTGCTAAATAATGGCTTGTATAAGCTTGTTAACATTACCTGCATATTAGCTGCCCTGCTGGTAGATGACTATCAGGATTATTAAGGTCACCTGGCCTTTGAGTTTAGACCCTGGTAACCTCATGAGTCTTGACCACATAATATCCAGATTGGGAGATATTCTGCTTCTGCCCGTACATCCTGGTCGCCATGAGCCCATGACCAAGGGATTAGAGCGTCATCTTCCCTTCCCATGCATGTGATGGCCTTCAAAAGAAAAGAAGAGAAAAATATCTCCATGTGGTTAGTCGGTTGACATCGTGGTGTATCATTGAAGCGAAAGACAGCTTTCGCACGGGACTACAGGCTGTTGCTGTGTTGCAGCAGCAGCAGGTCAGAAACAGATCGAAGCAGCAGCAGCAGCAAACTGGATCAAATGAACGCTGGTTTATGATATTAATTTTTTGATATCAGTCAATTTTACTCACCCAGCCTGATAAACATGCCAAAACAAACAGGTTTACAAAAGTACTTGCAACAACAGAGCTAGAAAACTTATGATATCTTTTTTGGTATCAGGCAATTTTACTCACCCAGTCTGATAAACAGGCCAAAACAAACAGGTTTACAAAAGTACTTGCAACAACAGAGCTAGAAAACTTATGATATTTTTTTTGGTATCAGGCAATTTTACTCACCCAGCCTGATAAACAGGCCAAAACAAACAGATTACACATATGCTCCCTTGAAAAAAACTGCAGACCATATGCACTTATTCTGCAACAATGGCCGTGTTTCTGACCAGCTAGATCAAATCAAGGTCAAGCCTACATGAATCAAAGCACCATCCTTCTTATTTGGGGTAAAATTTGGAAATTCCCAACCCCAAGGCAGTAGGAAATTTGGCTGTCAGCTACAAAGAAATGTGGCGCTGGTAGTGGTAGTGTAACTAAGAAAAAAAACACGGTCATCAATCTGGTCCCATGTGTTTGAATTGTTAGCAAAGTATGATTTACAAAATCAAAATGTGAGTCCA